CATTGAAATTTATATATTCAACGTAGCCATATTGTTAGATTCGAATTCCATAACTCTTTTTATCTTTTATTTTTTTGAGCATTGAAAAGAGGATTCGAACTGAATCTATTGCCAGGTGTACATATATTTATCAATAGACTATTTTTTGATGTGCTTCTTTTTATCGTAGGACGTTTATTTATACAAAATAAAAAAAATATTTCTACCAATAAAGAAGAAACACCTAACAAATTTTTTTTTTTTTTTTGAGAAAGACCTTACAAAGTTAAATTCTTTTAAATTATTTAATTTGATAATAAAATAGTATCAAAAGGATGGAAAAAACTGTCAATTAGGTGGTGGTTTAATTGATCTTTTCACTTATGTGAGAAGTTTAATGAGCAAGTCATTTCAAGAAAGTGGATAAAAATATCTGTAAAAATTTTTCTAGAGATCATTTATAATGAAGAAAGATAAGTTTAAAGAGAACAATCTAGAATTTAGAATTAACAAGTTTCCATTCCAACAGGGAACCAAAAGCACAACATTATAAAGAATAGATGGACGAAGTTTTAATATTGGATTTGACGTTATAAAATGTCTTCATCACCATCAATTATTTTGCCTCTACTTTTGCAATCTAAAGAAAAATATTAGACACTCATTATTTGTTTTCCAAACATTAACTTATTTTTAGAAAGAATTGTTTTTTAAATAATTTAATTTAATTATTTAATTCTAGTATTAAAGTTAATTAAAAATTATTAAAATTTTTAGTGATAAGTATCGAAATTGATAAATGTGTATTTATAGTATGATAAGTCATATTTTAAAAAATACTCTTAATTTTCATTTTTACCCAAAAAAAGAATTTTTTTTTTTCTTGATTAACTTTTTAAACGCTCTAAATATTAGAAAATTTATGAATTAGTTGTTGTCACGACCCAATTCCATGGGCCAGACCGGCACTAGGGCCCAGGTAAGCTTAAGGCCCCCGAGGCCCGTAGTAAGCCTGAAACACTAGAATCTATTATCAACATCAGCCATATGAATGAAACATAACTCAATATTTATATTTATCGGCCAAAGTTACTTCAAATAATATGGGTTCACATAATTATCTCATCTATAATAATAAACGATTAAAAGTATACAAATCCTACAACTGCGGAGTCACTAACTGTTTGATATACATAGCTTTTATACATACAGTTACATGGTAAAATACTTATAGAACTAGGGAAAATTTCATTATGCCCTGTGTCGAAGAAACATAGCCTAGATCGAATTAGAGAGAAACCTACTTCCTGAAAAATTAAACAAGATATGTGAGCCTTTTAAGAAGTAATATCTATTGCACAACACACGCATTCACACAAATGAATAAATATATCAATCTAGTCATCCGACTAGTTATTAGTTATATGGCTCATGCAGTCAGTCACATCAAATGGCATATCAATTAAACCCAAATCATTAACATCTTCATGTAATCACATCAGTGGAAATTGGTACTGTGCGTCACTGAAACCCCGATGGCCGTCTCCAATGGTCATCCTCCATTAACGTGTGACCAGGGCGCCGATCTCTTCCATATTCTGGCCGATTCCGGTCTAATCCTACTTGACCAAGCCTCTCTGTTTTTCCATTTCTCTTTTCTTTTTTCCTATACACAGGAGCAAACCCGGTCGTCTGCATCAAATTAGATACAGGCGCTCAAAAGGGGCCACCCTGGCGGGCTGCGATAAATCTAGATTATCAAGGTGCGCCCAATAAAGAAGCCAACTTGTGAGTTTTCATATCATACAAAAATGGTGGTACACACGGGGGCGCCGTTCTCATTTAAAACCCGGCCGAATACGGTCAACCGCCTCACAACCCATGGTGACCCACTTCATTCCACTCACAAAACAAAGCACAGCAGATATCAAACCATTAATAAGTATTGCAATTAATGCAAGCATATTAATCAATTAACTCGAATGCAATGCACAATAGACATTCCATTTCAAATGCAAATAAATAAGTAAATTAGTGTTAAAATAAACAACAATTAAATAAAATATATATTAAAAATAATGAACACAAATTTGAAAATAATAAATGAATAATGGAATGCTAAATGAATAATACTGACAATAATAAACAATTAGAGGTACTTATTTTAATTATGTAACAAATAATAGAATTTATCTAAATCCTTAAATTAATTATAATTAATGTACTTAAAACTAGTCTCATCTATCGAAATTTCGGGCAGCACTCCCCTAAAATATTGGACTATCGCACCTGTTTAATAACACAGTATTATTATATTTCAATCAATAAAGCCCTCCGTGGGCAATAACAACTTAATTACCATCCTCCTTCAAATAGAATGTCATAGTAAAACATTTAAATTGGTCTATCCATTATACATTACTTGTTTATATTATATATATATATATAATATATATATATATATAATATAATATATATATTATATAATTTATTAACATCTTCTATAACAAAAAACTCAAATGTGTTGATGCAAACTTGCACGACACATACAAAGTTTTTCTTACGATCATAAAATATGGATTAAACATGTAACTAACTATTTCCTATCGAAATCAATTTTAACTTCCAAGTACTACAATGTACTATACTAGGCTACAATTTTCCAGAAATAAATAAATTGAAATAATTGCTTGCCAAATCTAAAAGTCTAGACTTCATGATTAAATTTTCATATTTTACACAATAGCTAACTCACTACCCTACAAGAACTTCATTTACAACTTCAAATACCCATCCCAAACATTATGATTCAAAATTCTCTATTTAATACCCAAAATATATCCACCATTTTTTAATCATTACTAAAATTCTAGATTAGGCATTACAAACCAATGTTTCCATTAAGTTACAATTTAGTAATCTCATCTCTCAAGTAATCTCCAAATTACACAGCTTAAACATATATACCAACCCCAACAAGTATAATTATCTACCTTTTAATTTCATCAGGATATACCAGCGTTTCTAAGAACTTCAACAAATATAATATTTATCTTCTAAATCCAAATCCCAACGATAAAAAGCTAATTTAAACTGTAATTCATGGGCTTAAAACACTAAATTATTCATACCACCCCATTACAGCCAATTATTTAAAAAAAACTATATAAATTCCTTGACTCCTATTTCCCAAAGAGTAAATATCTAATTAGCACTTTAAAAATTTTCTAAAGTTCTAAACAAATAAAATTAAACATATTCCGGCTACCGCAAATACCACAGGGACTAATTCAAAATTTAATATTTACAGAAGAGTAAAAAATATTCTATTTAGATATAGACTATTCCGATAATCTTATTTTCTTGGTTATTTAATTAAATTACTTATATATAAATCCTAATTCTTAAATAATTTAAAATTCTATTATTTATTGTTAGCCTACTTTTGATAATTATCCACATAAATTTGCTAAGGTCACTAAAATCTAAACTTCTACAGGTTTTTTTTTTTTTTTTTTTTCAGCTATAAACACCGGAATTTCTAAATTTCGTGTCGAATAATTATTTGAAGGTCAATTGAATTCGGGTTGCAAAACTAACTGTATATTCGTAATCTACATAAAAAGGTCAACATTCTGCCATACGCATGCTCCGGTGACCGGAACAACCGCTGGCTGCCGGCGTCGCCGCCGTACAGGGTGGCGAGGGAGGCGGCAGTCTGAGATCAAGCAATTTCGACGCTACAGCCACAGAGAAAGAGCCATTTTTCTATAGTGGCGGCGGCTTGTAGAGGCGGAGCTCAAAGAGAATCGAGTGAGAGAAGAGAAGAAGTACATGGTTTGCTAACTCAGAGATTTGAAATCCTTGGATTTGGAGAAGCAAAAGCTAAAAACTCAGAATCACATTCCAATAAGGCCATTCTTTCATCATCTAATGTAATCCAAGCTTCAATTCCATTACCATCTTGTTGATAGCAGTCGCCGGAAGGCCGGAGGAGAGGGAGTTGCCGAAGGAGGCAGCTTCGAGCTACGCCACTGCAAGGCCGTTCGGCGCGAAGAAAGCGAGAGACGCGATTGGTGGCGTGAATGAGTAGAGCCGCCGCCTTGCTTTTCCTCGCGTTGGTGGCCGGAAACGAGAGAGGCAAAGGGGGAGAGGAGGTCGCGCCTTTGGTGCTGGCGCAAAGGAAGAAGAAGCGCGAAAAGAAAAGAAAAAAAAGAAAAAAAGAAAAGAAAGAAAAAAAAATCTTGGGGTTCTAGACATTCCGGTTCGATCGAACTGGTTTGGTCTTAATTTCAATGATCGGCTCAATGTTGCTTGGTTTTTCGAGTTTTCGCTTGGTTTCGAAAATCAAATTGGTTAATGGGGTCCAGTTTTAGCAATAATAAAATACTAGCTGGTATCAATTCTCATTTGGTTTGAAAATAAAAAAAATTTAGTTTTTAATGAAAATTCTACGAAAATTAAATTTCGGTCGGTTTCAATTAATGTGATTATTTTTCTCCACATAATATGGAGCTGAGAGGTCTTGGAATCAGGGACAGACGTGTACTAGCTGGTATAATCTCATTGGTTGAAAATAAAAAATTTAGTTTTTAAATGAAAATTCTACGAAATTAAATTTTCGGGTCGTTTCAATAATGTGATTATTTTTCTCACTAATATGGAGCTGAGAGGTCTTGAATTCAGGGACAGACCGTGAGGATTTTAAGGGACTATGGCTCCAAATTAAAATATTTAAAACTTTTAGAGTGAAAAATTTTTGAAAAAGAATATTTTAATTTTACACCTTATAATTAGTAAAATTATTTTTTAGTCCTTAACTGTTTGGACTGCGTCCATTCAATTAAGTTCAAATTTACATTTATTTGATTATAAATATTTTTACCAATTTAATTAAAAAAAAAACTAGAAAATTCAAAAGTTATTTTTCAACTACAATATTTTCCAAAAACGAAATAGCCTTAAATGGATTTGTGATAGAGAGAGGACAAAATACAAATGGGCAATTAAGTAATTGAATGTGATGGAAATCTACTCAGTACGATTCCATTTAAGTAGTCAATATAAGACATCTAATTAGCAATCCAGTTGGCTTCACATCAAACACCAACAAAAATTAATGACTGAACCAACACCAAAGTCTTCAAAAACGACACTACATATAATAAAAATATCAGTAATATTAATATATTATATTTAAAATACAAACTTTCACTAGGAAATTAAAGATAATCCCATTTTTATTACATCATCACATTCCAAAATATAAAATAGCCCATAACAAAAATCCACAAATTATCTCAACTCCAACATATGTGCTTCTCTTTGCAATTTCACCTCTGCTTTTATCCTCTGCGCTTGATCCACTTTTTGTAGAGTTCCCTTTTAAAGAAAAACACAAGTTAAACCTAGATTTACCCCTGTGCAAAAACTCAGTTCCGGTTCAAACCGAACCGAATCTGTTAAATTGAACTTTTTTTATTCTTAAAGTTTAAACAAAACCAAGTTAAGTGGCTCGCGTAATTAAACCAAACTCAACCGATTTGATTTGGTCCATTTTTTGTTTTTTGGATTTATTTTTAAATTTTAGGCCTTTTTATTTCACACGAGAAAAACTGAATAAAAAATTTTGAAAATCAATTCGGAATTCGGTTCGGTTTCTTCAATTCGACTGGCTTCTGTTGACTGCTGAGTCCTAGATAAAAACTTAATGCAGCAAATGAATTTGACTCTTAAAGTTTAAACAAAAACCAAATTAACTCGCTCACGTAATTGAACCAAACTGAACCGATTTGATTTGGTCCATTTTTTGGACTTAAAGTAAGTTTCTTTTTGTGACGAAATAATAAGTAGACAAATAAATGGATGAGAAATGACTAAATGATGTTAATACTTACCACTGGCAACAGGTGCAGAGCTACTGCTAGTGATGTTAGCAAATCCAGCAAATACCTTAGCTTCTGGCGAGCTAGGAGCCAAGTGTAATAAATCTGAGTCATAAAACATCCAAATGGCAGAATAAATTTTAATAATTCAAAGAAAAAAAAAATAGAAATCCAAGTTTAACCTTAAATAGAATTTTCGGAAAAATATTTTTCATAACAAGAAAGAAAAATTGTCCAAATCCCAATTTTCTGCCTTGACCAAGAGTCAAGGGAGAGGGATCTTATTTTTCCTTATAAAGATTAGTATTTTTTTAATTAAGTTAAATCCAATTACTTGACTTATATTTTATAAAATTTTATTTATTATTTATTATTAAACATGAATGATCAATCTAAATGCTAAAAGAACACGTACATCATAATAAGAAATTATTAAACTGAAAAAAGCCAATTAAAATTTTATTACCTAATAATTAATTTCTCTTTTCTTAAAACATTAAAAATTAATTTCTTTTCTAAAAATTAAAAAAGAAAAAATTAATAATATAGTCCAATTTTGCAAAATATAATTAATTTGTCTTTATCTTCTTAAAAATATACTAATTTATTTCTATGCTTTCCTTTAGCTGCTATGTATTTCTATTCAATTTTTATATATTTTTCTATTAAATCAATAAAGCAGCAATATTAAAATTTTATATTAAAAAAATTACAGTATAATTTATGCAGTTAAAAAAAATATAAATAGTAAGTTTTTATATTTTTAAAAGTATACCTAAAATAAAAAGAGATAAAAGAAGTATTTTTATCATTTTATAAGATAATTAATATTTTAAGAAATAAATTACCTTATAGTTTAACCGAAATAAATTATAAAAAAATTTAGTCTATTTTCCCATTAAAAACATTTTTTTTCTGTACTCAGAGTATCTCCGTCCGTAAGAAGGCCAAAATTAGTCTCCTCAAGGCACTATCAGATACCCAGATGGAGATTTCTATCAAGTACACAGAACACTGCATAGAAAAAAAAAATCCAAAGACATACCGATACACTGTGTGATATTGGCCGGAGCGTGGCAGGCGCTGGGAAGAGTAGCTGCAAGAGTAGCATTGATCTTCAGGCCAAGACTGGGATCGTCGCGATCTTTAATAAGAATACAGAGGCATTTCTTGCTCTTCTCTAACACTTGCTTAAGCCCAGTGCAGCAATCTAAGGTTGGAGCTTTTGCAGTTCCACCAACGTAAGGAAGACACGGGGCAAGACCCACTAGTTGGTTTGCGCATTCTGCTCTCTCTTGCGCAATGTCTGATCTTGCAATACCAATTAGCAGAAGGAAAATTCCCATAGCCAGATGCTTCGACTCCATTGCGGTTGTGAGAGAGAGAGAGAGAGAGAGAAAGAGAGGAAAGGCGAAACAAAAAGATGCCCACTAGACTTTTATGCTTTTTTTGTCTCGACTTTATTTGATATTTTAATTTTTAGATTAATAAGCGTGGCCGTGGGGTTGGAGACTGACTTAGAAACGAGTAAAGCAAGCAACCGTACTACGCATCGCTATCGGTTCATTTTGAATTGAAATTAAATTGAAATTAAACCGTATTATAAATGAATCAGAATCGGATCGAAATTATTAATTTAAAATTTTGAATCGAAACCGACGGCTCAAAGACCAATTAAGATTTATATGGATGTTAAAATCTGAACTTGAATCAGCTCTCAACCAGTGGTTAACTAGCGGTTTTAGTCCAGTTCTAATCTAAAATTTTCTATTTTTATTTTCAAAATGATAATCACTGAGTTTATTTTATACATATCTAAAAGTGTCAATAATATTTTATTATATAATATACTTTACTTAAGATTTTTTTTTTAAATATACTTTATTTTAAAAGTTAAAAATTTAAAAAGTAAAATGGTAAAAAAAGAGAGAAATATTTAGTCTAAACTTATATTGTTTTTAACTTTTTTACCTTTTTAAATTGTTTATTAAGTTTAAAATTACATTCTTTCGAAGCATTTTTCAAAATTTTCTTATAGTTTATTTAATTAATAACATTTAAACAAAATAAAGTGATAATTTATTTTATTTTTTTAAAATTAATTAATTTTATTCTTATATGAGTATGAGCATTTTAAATTTTATTTAAAATAAAATTTATCAATATTTTTTAAACTCATATTAATATTTTCAAAAGAAAGATATAACATTAGAGCCGAATTTAAAAAAAAAAAAAAAACATATATCACCAGAAAAGAGTGATCGGAATCAGAACCAACGGCACCAGAAAGAGTGATCGGAATCAGAACCAACGGTTCAAGAGCCGGTTCAGGTTCAACATTTAAAAAATTTTTAATCATCGGTTCCATGAATCAAATGGTTTCAGCAAAAAAGGCCAGTTTCCAACCATTTCACTCTGATGAAAAAAAAAAGGAACTCAAAACCGGCCAGAATCGGGCCGATTCAGGTCATACCTATCTTGATTCCTCCTTTGAAAAGACTGGTTTACGGGTGCCCCCAAAACCCCACGCCCGAGTTAGAGTAGATATGTTCTTAGACTGACTTGGATTTGAAAAATGGTAATTTAATAAAATATGATTACTTAATTTATATTTTTTTTCTTTATAAATTAGGACCCACATCGGGACTTGTAAATATAACAATTTTTTAAAATATAAAATTTTTTAAAATATAAAATTTTATAATTTTATAAATATTTTTATGCTATTACAAATTAAAATTTTAACCTTTTAAATTAATTTTCAATCTTATAACTAAATAATAAAAAATAAATTTTTTGAAAAAATACTTTTCAAGGAAAATGTTTTCTTTTAAAGATATATATATTTCATAAATCAATTTTTTTCTAAAAATAAAGGAAGCCTCAGTTTGAGTCATGTAAAAGAATTATAGAAATTAAAGTTATTAAAATTAATTTTAGTATATACTGAAATTTGAGTGTTCTAATGCAAATGATTCTCAACTTAAAGCTTTGCTTTTAATATTCATATGTCTCTATCTTCTTATGACTGTCCTTAATAGATTTATAATCTTTATTCTGTCTATCATTGTAAGTTTACTTCAAAACAACATTGTAAAAAATATACCTTGTATAGTAATATTTTCTAAAAGAAAAAAGCTGAGTATTTTAATCATTAATTTTGGTAATAAAGTGATAAATAAGTTAGTTTTGTGTACCCGCGAACAATTCTCGATTTCTAACTGAAAATTATTTAGCTATATAAAAGCGTTTGATTTTCGGGTCTTAGTTTGGTTACCATATATCACTAACCAAATTTATTTTTAAGTCTAAAATAGTTTATTAGGTTTGAAACAACAAAATTCAAATGGAATCAAACCAATTTAATTCGATTTGGATCGATTATTATACCATTTAATTTCAGATTTACGTATCATAAAAACATATTCTTATAAATCAAAATCAAGATAATTCAATTTGATTTGGTTTGGTCAACAGAATGCTCACTTCTAATTTTATAAAATTAATTTAAAATATTATTGTATATAATGCTTAATTATTAAAATAAATTAGCGGAAATAAAAAAAAATGTTTATCCTTGAACACTGGGGTGGAGAAAAAAGAAATTAATAATATCAGTCGTTGAAGACTGAAAGTGAAGAGTTCACATGTCAGGAAATTGATTGTCTTGAAGTGGGACAAGCAAGCAATTCTGTTAGGCATACAGCGAATCTCATCCACAATTAATACATGTTGGCGGGGGTTGGATAACTTACCATTCTTTCTACCTTTAAATAGTTAATTAACCATCTTTGGCAAAACACATTTTTTATTTTTTCTACTTTTTTAATTTTGCTTAGTCAGGACACTGACAGGTGATAGACAAAATAAATTTATTAAGGTTATAATTGTAAATAAAGTTATGCTAAAAGGTAAATTTGGATTTGAATTTTAGTTTTTATTTACTTTTTTCTTATTACTATTTTGGTACGAAAATGATTTTCACATATCACTTTCGTACTTGAGTTTTTATTTACTTTTTCTTATTGCTGTCTTTGAAAATTGAGATTTTCACATGTCACGTTATTGTTGGATATATTTTATAAAAGATGACTTGAAATTTTATTTATTAAGAGCGGATACGAGACAGGTAGAGTATTTATACCGCTCCGATCCATTGAATAAAGATGTGAACAGTTATAAATAGGTGTGAGATATATATGTATAATGAAATTATTATTTGAAATAGATATGGATAACTATTTTCAATTTTGCCGAATCTTTAATTGTTTCCTTCCATACTAAATAAACCGATAAGTTCTCAATTACCAAAGATCTCTCGATTAGGTGGTCATCAGTGGCTAGAGTCATCTTCCACTTTTCATATCAATTGAGTATGCATTTGCTTAAAGTTTATAGCTTTTTGTAAGCTCAAAGTTATGTGTTTCTCTTGGAAAATAGCTTTTGGCTCTTAACTTGAACTTCGTATCTTCATGAGTTGAACTTTTAAAAAAATTTATCTCTCTTCTGATTTCATCATCAAAACAATCAAACGGTATGAATTCAGTATGTGGTTGATATTTTGATGTTTGGTGAATGAGAAAGTGGAGAAGAAAAAGGAGGTTATGCAAAACCACTACATTTTTTTGACATTTCATGTTTTTTCTAATTTTTTTTAAAATAAATACTTTTCAGTTAAAAATATCAAAAATATTATTTTTTTTTCTTTTTGTCAAAAATTAGATCTTTTTCTCAATTGTTTTGTTAATTATAAAAAACTGATTTTTGAACAAATTGTTTATTACCTTCAAATTCAAGAAGCAAATAGGATGTTATTCCCTCAATCATATATACTAAATTATATCAAATTGATTTGTCTTTTTTCACTATTTAAAATTAAATTATAATATTTAAAATCTTCGTATAATACAAGAACATGTTTATTAGATAAAAATATATATAACAAAAAATAAGTCAAAATTCATATTAATAAATTTCATGACTGCTTCAGTTTCATATTTTTTTATTAATAACAGAATTTAAATCATTTAATTTTCATTTAAAAAATATCATTTACATGTTATCCAACTAATTGATGAAATATGAAATTAATGAAATTTAAATTTCGGTATTTTGTGAAATCAATGAATTTTACATTATATTAGTTCAAATAGCCATGAAACTATTCATAAGTAAAGTAATTAAAATATACATGCGATAAAAGTTTTTGAAAAGCTTTAAAAGTCTAAAACGAAAATTTTTTGTGATTGAAGATAAGAAAATATACCTAATATAAAATAATTTAAGTAATTTTAAGAGATAGAACTGTAAATAAGCTAAATCACTTGAGAACTGCTCATAGCTTAGTTAGCAATTTAGTTCGGAAAAAGCTTAATCGACTTCAATCGATAAGCCTAACAATATTTATATTATATAATTAATAAAATTTATATAATTAATTTAATAGAAAATATATTTAATAATTTAATAAAAAATAGAAAATTAATAAAATAATAGTAATTATTATTAATAATTAATAAAATAACTACAACTAATCAAAATTAATATTTCTTATAGTTTTAATAACCGTGCAAACATAAACTTTTTTTATTACTCATCAATCAGACAGATGAATTTTTTTGAAAGAATTGTTTGAGAAACAAGTGATAACTTTTTGGTCGTGATTCTCAGACTTACTTCTCTCATTCTATCAAACTAATCTTATTGTTGGATCTAGTAAATTAGATTTCTAAGCGTTTGCAAAATTTTGTTTATTCACTTTAAATTGAGTATCTATTTTCTTTTCTTTCTGAGTAGGATTGAAAATCCTGTATTTTACATATCCATGTGATAAAGTCTGAGTTTCCGAAATAGTGCAAAAAGAAATACTTCGGATCATTGGTATTTGACTCACACTTGTTCTAAAAAAAGTCTAAGGCATTTTAAATTGTTGATTGACTTTGTTGAAGCAAAAAAAAAAAAAAAAAAAAAAAAAACCGAAAATAGTGCAAAAAGAATTACTTCGGGATCATTTGGTATTTGACTCACACCTTGTTCTAAAAAAAGGTTCTAAGGCATTTAAATTGTTGATTGACTTGTTGAAGCCAAAAAAAAAAAAAAAAAAAAAAAAAAAAAAAAAAAAAAAGAAAAACCTCTAAAATTATTCGAATATTGGACCTTCCGAAAAATAATGTCTTCTACTAAAACATGCGTCTAAAAAACAGAAAGCCTTTTGAAAGAAGCTATTCAAGAACTAAAAGGAGCTTGTTCTTCTCCATGAACAAGTATAAAGAGGAACAAGCAGAAAGAAACTAACTATAAAGAAATTAATCGCTTTTCTGTTTTCTAATTAATCACATATCTATTTATATTTTAGAATCTTTTTTATAATCTTTATTTCTTTATTCTTATTTTATTCTAATAATACTTTATTAGACTTTATCAAAAATTAGAACAATATTATTAATAATTAGAATATATTATTCTGT